GTCACCTATCAGGGAGAACAAGTGGTATTTGTCCCTTTGGAATTGGCTTATTTCACTCAGCATAATGTTTTCCAAATTCCTAACAGGGATCACTTTTCAATTAAAATTTAAACACCTAAGAATAATTGTGTGTTAATTACAGAGTTCAACCAATGGTACTAGAACAAAAAAATACTATAATGGATAAAGTATTACATTGTACATCAACAGTCTTTGTGTTTTTATCAACAAATTTATTGAAAGTTTTATCAACAAGATCTGTTACTTACACATTCAACTAAAAATGTAGAAAATTTGCATAGCTCTCTTGCTTTGTCCAGTAAATATAATTTTTAAAAGATTAATTTATTTAAAAGGCAGAGTTACAGAGCAACAAGGAGAGACAGAGAGCGAAATCTTCCATACACTGGGTCACTCCCCAAAAGGCTGCCAGTGGCCAGGGCTGGGCCAGGCTAAAGCCAGGAGCCCGGAGCTTCTTCCAGGTCTCCCATCTGGGTGCACAGCTCCAAGAACTTGGGCCGTCCTGCACTGCTTTCCCGGGCCCATTAGCAGGGACCTGGATCAGAACTGGTGCAGCCAGAACAAGAATTGGCTCCCATATTGGACAACGGCACTGCAGACTGGGACTTAATCACTACACCAAAACATTGGCCCCTAATTTCTTAATTATTTTAAAAGTTGGATCATTTTAATTTATTAGAGGACTCTTATAAAACAAGTAGCTGAGTCTTCCATGTTGAAGATTGTGTTTTTGAAGTTTCTTGCAGGGAGACATCTCTATTTTATGCACATTTGTAAGAGGCAGTATTTTTGGTTAAAAGTTTATAGCTTTAGAATCATCTTACCAATTGTGTAAACTAAATTAATTACATGCAAGAAGTTATATATGAAGTAATTCAACAGTTAATGTGAAACAAGTCAGGAGTTAAGGCTATGGTTAATCAGAAACAATGGAGACATGTCTCCCAATCTACTTTACTATGAGGCATTGACAGACATTACTGCAACTCCGTGAACATGGACTCTACTGGGCCCTACTCTGACAGTTCCACCAGGTGTTCCCAGCCAACTGGAACTGTTTGTATGACATGGCCATCGTGGGCAGAATACCTCACAGCAGACTTCTTATGCCAAAGTCAAATCAGGAAGTTACCAGATTCTCTCAACTCAGCATTATCACAAAATAAAAATATCCCACAGGTCTACGCTGCTTTATCACCTTAAGAGAATTTTTAGAGGCTGGTGCTGTGGGGTAGCAGGTTAGGTCTTTGGCCTGCTGTGCTCGTATCCCATATTGGCACCAGTTCATGTTCCGATGCCTCTCTTCCAGTCCAGCTCTCTGCCTATGGTCTGGGAAGGCAGTGGAGGATGGCCCAAGTGCTTGGGCCCCGCACTCATTTAGGAGACCCGGAAGAAGCTCCTGGCTCCTGGCTTTGGAATGGCCCAGCTCCAACCATTGAGGCCCTCTGGAGAGTGAACCAGCGGATGCAAGACCTTTCCCTCTGTCTCTCCTCTCTGTCTGCAATTCTATCAAATAAATTTAAAAAAAAATTCTTTAAAAACAAAGAGTTGTCAGACACATTATTTCAGGTTCAATTTATGATGCCTATTTGATAGAGCTTCCTATTCTACTATTTTTTTTATTATGGAAGATAATTCAAAATGGTCACAGAAAAAATGGAATGAAAACATAAGCTTATTTTGGTGCAAAAAAATGAAAATCCATGCATAGCTTTTTCATCACACACATTTTCCATGAACAGTTTAAAGTACTACTCTTGTGTATATTTAAAGCACACAGCATAATGTTTATATATATATACACATATATACACACACACATAGTGAAGTGATTACTATGGTTAAGTAAATTAAGATATCCATTTCCTCAGAGAAAAAGAACACTCTCCCAGAGCAGAGAGTTATTACTCTGCTCCTCTAGGTCAGTTATGCCTGTGTGACTTGGGAGAAAATCATGTATTTATTGTAAATGCCAGGTCCAGTCACCTCACGTAAGTAGAGTTGTCCATCAGTGTCTTCAGGATATTTGGCACCTCCTACAATGCCCACATCTGCAGATGCTCAAGTCCCTTGTTTTATATGGCATAGTAGTCATATAACTTATGCCCAGCTTCCCATGTAGTTTACATCATCTTTAGATTACCTATAATACTTCATATAATTTAACTATGTTGTATTTTCTAGTAGAATGGCAAGAGAAAAAAGTCTGTATGTGTTCAGGGCAGATGCAATTTTATTTTTTCTGTTTTTTTTTTTTTTTTATATATGAGTTTGGTTGAATCCTCAGATGCGGAACCTATAAATATAGGAAGTAGACTGTATTCCATTGCTTAACATACCTTGGTAAAAGCTCACAGCAACAATCTAAGCTCATGCCTTTGATCTTATAAACCTAGAGGGCAAAAAGATCAAAACGAAGGGCAAAGGGTTGTTTTTATTTTTAGGTCATCAAAAATACTAAAGTGTTGGTCAGGGTGATCTTTGTAGAAAGAAAAACAAATTCAAACTAGGACTAACAAGGCCTGCTGTGCATGAGTCACAGCGAATCAAGCAGGACCTCTGGACACAGGAGGAAAAGCATTTGGGAGCCACGTTGTAATCCAGCCGTGAGCCTCGGAACTTACTGGTCTCTTTGTAGAAGTATTTCAACACCTGGACGAGGTCCAGGAGAAGAGAGGTCAGGCAGGTGGAAAAGTTGCTTCTCTTTCTTTCCAAGGATGTTTTCGGTGACCTTGAGGAGGAGTTTAGGAATGACTTTCCTAGGTGCGAACATGAAAATAGTGAAAGTCTAGGCACTGTCTGGGGGACTGCTTTTTTCTAAGTTGTCTCCAAAGCATCACACAGTCCACTGCTTGAAGGAAGGTCCCAATTTTTTGAAGAAAGAAAACAACTGCTGTACAGACTTCACTTAACATAAACTAGAGTGATTGCATGTATAAACAAAATATAAAATAGCATAAAGCATATGGATTGAGCATAGAGATTTGGAGTGTTTAGCTTTTTTCTCATTGTTGCTTTGTATTAAAATTCAGGGAGAGTCCAAAATCGTGTTTCAAATTGTTCAGTTCATTTGACCTAAGTGGGACACTCATATCCGTAAGCCATTACCTCTTTGATAAATATGATAATGATGAATTCAGTTGGAATTCCCAGCTAAGTGTATGTCTCAAAGGTATTTTTATCTGCTTTATTAATTTTTCATAGACTCCAATCTGCTTAGCTGGGAAAAATGCTATAATATTTTATTTTGCCTGGGAAGTTTCCCAGTTAAAGTAAATTAATACTCACTTAAACCAGTTTTTATCTTACAATTGAGATTAGCAGCGAAAGTAGAGACTAAAAAGGCAAAGAGGCTGATAGAACTAATTTTCACTAATAACTACTTAATTGCTACAGAGAGTCCGTGGTGCTGTGAAGGGCAGCCACCTTGCAGCTAGGAAGAAAGCTGATCTCACCCTAGGGCTTCCCTCGTCTTTGCCGGTCTATCTATGAAAATCCTCTCTCATGCAGAACAGTAAAATAACTGGCTCCACATTCCTCATCCTCACTCTCACTCCTTAATAGTAGATAGAGGCATCTCTTTGGAGACGAGCTCAGACAGCCGTGCCATCCACATCCACTCCTCCATGGTTCCACGTGAAAAAGTCCAGGCATACCATAGGCTACTTCACTGACATTGACATTCCTCTCAAATTTTCCTCAAACTGCCATCATTTCCCTCCTATCTAGTTAAGAGAATTATCAGACATGATATAATGATCAAGAAAACAATGACAAATTTTCTTAAAAAAACAGTGCCATCCCCTAGCAACATTTATCAGGCATTTATTTCGTTCATGGTCGGTTGATTGGTTCATATTATTGTTGTTACTGCTCTTGTGTCCTAATGACACTTTGCTTGCTCTCTCATTTAGGTCTAGGGAAGGATTAGGGAACAAAATGATGATAAGCATAGGTTTTGGTGTCAGACCAGCTAGGATGCAAATTCTAATTCTGCAACTTAATAGAATGGTTTGGGCAGTCGTCTTTATTATAGAGAAGGAACGATGACAACTAGTGAATGAGCACTCATATACATGAAAGTGTCAATTATGGGCTAACGTTGCATTGGAATTCTGGCTCTGTACGGACATTTGAGTAGTGCAGCATTATGCATGCCATGCCTTACTGACAGACTTGGCTTCACATCCCTGTTTTCTTGGTAACCACCCATCTGATATGTACACGCATGAGGAACCAGCCAAAAGTTCTAAGAAAATCAGCCCGGAAGCCTGAAACTCTCTTATTTGACTCTCTCTTCGGAACACAGAAGACACATCCTGGATGATCCGTATAGTATATCTTCATATCTTACATAGTTATCTACTGATGTATCAAAAATCACCACCAATGGTTGGTGGCTTTACAATAACCATTTATTAGTGCTTTAATCTCTCTGTGGGTCAACTGGATGATTTTGGTGATTTGGGGATAGGATTGCCTACTCTTGGCTGATCTGAGTTCTGTGATTGGCAGGTTGACTGCATACTAGTTGGTCCAGAATAAGCCTTATTGCAATGTCTAATGGTTGATGTTGGCTCCAATTTACAGCAGTGAGGATAAATGGACATGTTTACCTTTGAGAAGGTTATCTCTGGTTTGTTGAAAAAAAGCCACATGTTCCAAGATCAATGAGGAAGCAGACCACAAAATGCAAGAACTTTTCAAGTCCCTGCTCAGTCATTCTAAAACACATACTAAGGTTAATCTAGATTTAAAGTCTGGAGGCAGATGCTGTCTCTTGAGAGAAGAGCTGAATGTCAGATTATAAGGACATGGGCATACGCAAGGAATTTTTTTTTTTTTTTTTTTGCTATTTCTGCAATCTACCACATGCCTTTTGGTCATAATCCTAATGCTTTTCCCTTCTGCTCTACTGATGAAGTATATTAGGAATGCCTTGACCTTGTTCTATCTTTTATTTCCCCCTACTCCATCAGGTTTCTTCTGGGTCCATTCAAGAGAGTGTGAAAGACCGAGTGATTGACTCAAGACTGCAGCTATTTATCACCAAGCCAGGACTCTACACATGCATAGCTACCAATAAACATGGAGAAAAAATCAGTACTGCAAAGGCTGCAGCCACCATCAGCATAGCAGGTAGGATAGCCCTTCATGGCTGCATTGCTCTGGGGTAAGGGAGAGTTGGCAGTTTGCCACATGGTACATTGGGGGAAAAAATCCCTTTTCTTTTCTGTGTTACCCTAATCTTGGGGCTGTTTCCTCCTCCATGGGGAATTCTCCAAAGGCAACCTAGATTTTGATGTTAGCTGATTTGTTGCCTCAAGAATGAAATTTTCAAATGTTTGCCCAAGTTATGAGTAACAGCTTCAAGTTTATTTCTGCCTCTATCATCTCCTTCCTCTATTCCCCTGATCCCTCCCTCCTTTCCCTACCTCCTTTCTCTCCCTCCTCCTGCTCTTACCTTTCCTTCCTCCCTCCCTCCCGCCCTTCCTCCCTTCCTGCCTTCCTTCCTCTGACTTCATCACGGAAAGTGTCAAACTCCCCAAGGCTTTGGAAGAGAAAGTTGGCAGCTGGCTTGACACAGCGGAGGCAATTCCTGCATGTCTGTTTCCTGAGGGCATTTTTACCTTTGAGCGTTATCCTTGTGGTTGTTTTCCCTTCCTGTCTCATGCCTGCAAGACTTACAGGTGTTTTCGAGGAAAAGGGCTGACACATGGATTTCTAGGATATTTGTGTCAAGTTATAAAGATTTATTTTTAAAATGTAAATGCCCCAAAGGCTTCTGAGAACATTTATGCAATTCCTAGAGTTGAAATAATCCCTCTACCAGGAAGTGCCAAGCGTGTTATATTCATAGTGGGCCTATTGCACAAGGATCAGCAGAGAGGTGTTTGGCCTGGCATGTAAGGCAAGCCCAGGAACAGCCTGTGCCCAGGGCCCGCTCCCAGAGCCGGCTGTTTCTTATTACAGTATCGCTTCTTTGATCTCCCCTGATGGGCAACTTTCAAGTAACATCTGTGATTTTTTTAATATGCGGTAACAGAGGCCAAAGAGAGCTATATAGGCAGCATTGAACAAGGCAGCCAAGCCTCTGAAGGAAAGAGAAGACGCCAGTACCAAGGTTCCCTCTGCCTTCTCCCCCAGGATATCTTTGTACAGTGTCTAGAGATATCATATCAGCTATGGGAAATCATCTCTCCCAGAGAAGGGCAAGACTCCTTAAAGTAAATTCAACTCAAGTTAACAAATACTCATAAAATATTATTTTTTTTACATATCACTACACTGTTAACAAAGCATTTTTATAAGCATTTATTAAATGCACTGGATGTGGGCCATTGTACTGGGTAGAATAATGAATAAAAACTTAATTGACAAATAGATTTTGCTTTCCAAGAACTTCCAGTCTAGAAAGGAAGTCATTCAGCCACATATATTGTGATATAAGTCACATTCTACTGTAGAAGTATGGACAAAGTTCAAGAGCAGAGCAAAAGAAGAGAAAGCTTAAGGGAATCATTGGGAAAGAGGTTCCCTATGAACACAACATGTGGGAATGAGAGGAATAAGGCTGAAGTGTTTTCAGAAAACAGCAAGTTAGTTGGCAAATCCAGAACATTATAGACTTGAGTGAGATGGAAAAAGGGAAGAAAGGGTTTAAATGTGGGATCTAGCCAGGTTATAAACAATCTGAGGAGGTTAAATGCATTCTTCCATCAATTGGAAATCATTTAATTATTTTAGAAGAAGCAAGTGCTGTGGTCAGATATATCCTTTAGCAGACTAAGAGATACAGGGGTGTCGAGAGGCTAGGAGGCATAGCAAGCAGTTGGGAGACTCTTCAAGGAGTCTAGAAAAGTAGTCAAGGTTTGAACAACAGCAATATAAATTAGTACAGAGAGAAGAGGACAGATGCATTTAACCTCAATAGAGCAAGAGTCATGAAGATTGCCACCAGCAATGACTTTGCTAGTCAATGGACCTTAGAAACAGCAGTGGTATGGTGGTCAGCTTGAAAGTGGGGGGAGGCTGTACACCATGGAAGTGAGACTTTAACCACTCTGGAAAGTGTGTGTTTATAATCACTGCTACAGAGTCATCTGGAAACTTGGGTATAGGCTGAGCAGGCAGCAATAAAGAAGTAACTTGGGCATGGGAACTTGCCCCCTTCTGAGCTGCATGAGCAACATCTAAATCTGTCTATATAGAGAATCATAGTATTGTGCAATGTTGGAGCTCAAGTGAAGGAGTGAGTCGTTAGTCAAAAATTTGGGAAAAAAGAAGAAATTATTGGAAAGGTCTACAGTGGACATGATAAATCAGAAACATGTCTATTATCTGGAAAACCACTGCACATCTAGCATTATTTCTTGCTTTAATTAATAAACACCACAAGACCCTTTTGTTCAACCTCGGAACTGCGTTTCTAGTGGGTATTACTGATTATTAGGAGATGTGACAATCTTCCACTTTTCCCAAAATTCTCCCAGGAAGATCTGATAAGAGGGTCTCACAAATGCCACTGAGGACGTCCTCCAAACCCCCACGAGGCGTCTGCCATTCTTTCTTCCTCTCTTTGACCGGTTCTTTTTGGTTAGACCCGCAAGACGCCTTTGGAAGGTCCACATGGATCATTGAGGAGTCATCTCCAAAACTTCACTGCTCCCTGCGTGGATATTCCGGGAATCTGTGCCACTTTGGTGAAAAGGGATCTTGGAACCACTTTAACTCAGGATCACTTCAAAGGAGTGTGGTCTTGTGCTTCCCAGATCTCCTAGGGCCTGCTTGTGACACCTGCTTAAATCCCTGTCTCCTTGGGCCTCCAGTAGGCTGACCAGAGGTCCAGAGCTCAAGTCAGACATCATTCCCTGCCTTGCCACCCTGGAAACACTGCCTTACCACCCCAAAATCTCCTGTCTTTCACTTCAGCCAGCCCATCCTCCCCTGATGTCCTGTAGTCCACCGCCCCCTCAGACACATGCCTTGAGTTTCACTTTGAAGCTTTACTCCATCTGTTTATTTACTTATCCCAGCTGGAATACTGAAAATGGAAAGAGCTGATGGTTTTTCTAGCGCCTGAAAAATAAAAAATAAAAATCCACCTTCCTTTTCTCAAGCCCCTTACATGTGTCTCCCTAAATCCCTATGCATTGTGTGAGAAATGTGATATAATTCTTCCCGGGTCATTACATTTGCTGGTAGTCATCAAAAGAAGTCAGAAAAAAAAAATTTTTGGAACCTCTCCCCTGGGAACCAGGAAGCTGCATTTCCCCTCCAGTCACAACCCGGAGAGGCTCAAGTTGTGATTTAAACTCACCAGGATGCCAGGTATTTGGCAAGATGCCTTCTCTTTGTCATCAGAACCCTTAGCCCTGTGGCAGAGACCAGCAAGACAGCCCATGATCCCTGTAATGAGCGTAGCCTGAGCCAGCCAGAGGCCATCAAAATAGACACAGGGCTTCAGAAGAGGAAAACACATATTCGCGTCTCCCATGTAGGTCCTTCTCAGGGAGCGATGTCCAAAGTTTTGTCTGTGCTTATCTAGTCTACAGTACAGAGATGAGTCTGTGGTCATTATCCCCCCCTCTACTGAGAGCCATTCCCCATTCTAGCAACACTCCCACCTTCTGCAATGATTCTTTGTTAAACTGACTACAAGGTCTATGACTTTCAATACCTGCATTTAAAAGTTAGGACATGGATGCTTTGCGCAGAAGCTAAGATGCCACTGGGAACTGGGTCTGGGCTCCTGCTTTCTGCGTCTGATCTAGCTTTCTACCAATGGCTACCTTGGTAGGCAGCAGGTGATGGCTCAAGGTGTGGCTTCCTACTACCCACATGGGAGACCTGGCTTCAGTTCCAGGCTTTGGGCTTTGGCCTGGCCCAGTCCTGGTTTTCCAGTTTGTGGAAGATGGCCTCTCTCTCTCTCTCTCTCTCTGCTTTTCAAATGGAATGAAAATAAATACAAATTTTTAAAAGTTTAAAACTAGAATATATATATATAATGGGCAGTAGGGAGAAATCTGGTATACTGTTGGAATCTCCTATCCCCCAAAATGTACCACATAATTTTGGTATTTGCATTTCAAGAGCTGATGTTTTACTCTGTTATGCAAAAAAATAGAACTTTAAATTTCATATCATAATTGATACAGGGGATTTAATCCTCCATCTTGTTACATGGTCTTTTCATGTCTGAGGGGTCTGTACATTCATTTCCCCCTGGCATTGCAGATAATTTGCAGGCCTGGGGTCACACCGCAGTAACACAGTGTCCCCTTACCACTGAGCCCTTCACCCACCTGGGCAGACTGAGCTCATATCAACAAAATATTCACCATCCCCTGACATTTCATGGTGGCTTTGTCTGGCTTTAAGTTGATTAAAGGTATTTTGTTTTGTTTTTAATAAAAGGAAAAGAATTAATGAGTAACAGCCAGTAGCCACACTAAATTGCTACCAGATGTTCCCCAGTTAGACACAGAAGGTAAGTGTTCTTTTACGGTCAGGCAGCTTTCTTGTTTCAGAACAGCTGTATGTTTCAGAAGCAGGCCAAAGCTTTATTGACTTTTCCAGATCGTTTTATTTTTTTATTTATTTTTTTTTTTATTTTTTTTTTTTTGACAGGCAGAGTGGACAGTGAGAGAGAGAGACAGAGAGAAAGGTCTTCCTTTGCCGTTGGTTCACCCTCCAATGGCCGCCGCGGCCGGCGCGCTGCGGCCGGCGCACCGCGCTGATCCGATGGCAGGAGCCAGGAGCCAGGTGCTTTTCCTGGTCTCCCATGGGGTGCAGGGCCCAAGCACCTGGGCCATCCTCCACTGCACTCCCTGGCCACAGCAGAGGGCTGGCCTGGAAGAGGGGCAACCGGGACAGAATCCGGCGCCCCGACCGGGACTAGAACCCGGTGTGCCGGCGCCGCTAGGCGGAGGATTAGCCTAGTGAGCCGCGGCGCCGGCCCTCCAGATCGTTTTAAAGGTACGACAAGGATTGGTGACTATCAGAAGTTTTTGGAATCTTTAAAAAAATCCAATTTTGATATAAGATTGCTTGTTTATGATTGCAGGGTTCTTGGACTTCTTCCTTATCTCCTATCCCATCTCTTCTTCCCCTCTCCCCAACCAACCAACCCAAAAACA